CCACAGGAGCGCAGGGCCGGCGGAGTTCGCCGCGTCGCTGCCCTCGGCCTCCGCGGTCTTTCAGTAGGTTTGATGTTTGCCCTGGACTACCAGAACCTGCGATAAGCTCCACTGTGTGAGCCCGTGCCGCGTCTCCCATGGACTGTGCCCTGCGTAGGACCGAACCGAAAACGCGTTTTTCCTCCCTGTGAAACGCAGGCCAGCAAGCAGAGCAGCGGGTTCCAGTAGGTTTGATGTTTGCCCTGGACTACCAGAACCTGCGATAAGCTCCACTGTGTGAGCCCGTGCCGCGTCTCCCATGGACTGTGCCCTGCGTAGGACCGAACCGAAAACGCGTTTTTCCTCCCTGTGAAACGCAGGCCAGCAAGCAGAGCAGCGGGCAAGATCATAGAAAATATAGGTACTCCACCCCCGTTACACCAGAGCCAAAGCTAGGTTAATAGTTGAGTTACTTGGGCGGTTCTGTGGCGTAAAGGAAAGATGTATTTCTGAACAAGCTCTGCCTGTTCTGCTTGTGGGATGCCTGTGCTTTATGAGGTGTGAGATTCTGGTGGACTGCTAGCCTTGCTGGGCAGTGAAACCTTACGCCGTCGATGGTGTTGGTATGCTTGAGCCATGAGTTAAACTCCCTTGTATTTCCCCGAGCGTTGTGCTACTAGAACGGCCCTCTGTACCACCTCGAATTTATAGCGACTTGGTTCACCAAATCCTCTAAGTACCACTACAGTTATTAGGGATTTAAGTATTTTCAGTAGATGATTTCCAAACCAATAATATTTTTATCCACTTAGATACAGATCCAAAGTCCACTGAAGAAAAAACAACACAGATTGAACTTTGAATTTTGGATCAAATGTTTAGTCAGCATTCTGGATTTTCCATCACTGAGACACGGTTGATTTGAGACATCCTGCCGTAGCGGATGAGCTGGATTTCTGCTGAGCTCAGTGGGAATCCAGAGACCTGTCAAGACAGAACTGCATTTTTGCCTTTAGAAACTCCGGTGTTGTAATAGTGTGGAAAAGTCTGGAATCATTGCTTAAATGATACTGGCATCCTTTTTGATGGAGGATCCAGTTACAGCATTACCACCATACTTTTCTTTGCTCCAGGGATGGAAAAATCTTAAGATAGGAATCTTAAAGGTGAAACGTTCTTAGTATAAGTGAAATGACATCAGTGGGCTTATGCTGTGATTTTAGGATGAAAGAGATATCTCAATTCAGACATAAGAGAGTCGCAAGCGTGGGTTTTTTTTTGCTTGTTTGTTTTTAAGCAGTTGTAAAATTGTCTAGCCCATTTTATCCCGCTTTTTAGTGAGCTACGCAGAAACTGTATGCTTGGGAGTGTGAAGGCACTCAGGAAGGCAGTCCAGGATCCTAGTGTAAGGTAAAGGTTGTCTTCATGTGAGAGAAACCCACATTCAGGCTTGGCTGTGTTCTGATCCTATGTTCTTGCTAGAAGGCTTTCCAGGTACGGGTGATGAATGACTACTTTTTCTTTCTAGCCATCTGGGCTGACTTTTGTTAACTACAGGTTACTGTTGATCATGGTGTTAAGATGAATTTATCCAGACAGATATTCTCTCGAGCAGAATATTGAACTTCTATGAAAAATTTCAAAACTGAAAGAACCCCAAAGCATGTTTCAGTCCTTTTCTGACTTCCTAATGCTTTACGTTAGGAGGTTTCCACCATCTAGCATGTCTTGCCCAAAAATCCCTTTTCCCAAGCACCTTAAAATGCCAGAGGTCTTTCCTTTATTGCACATGTCAGAGAGTTAATGCGCTCTTGCACGAGCAGGGACTTTCTCTGCTGAGGTCGTTGGAGTGAGCTGGATCCGAGTGCATCAGTGGTGACATCTGGCGGCCAGGGAAAAAGTAAAAAAAGAACTTGCCTGCCTGGGGTCTTCATAATTCCTAGAGGTAGTAGCCTTTAACCCAAGGCCTTTCACCCAAGATCTGCTGGCGTGGCATACAGTAATATCGCAACACGACCTTGGCTGAAAAAGCATGCTCGTTTAAAACTGTGGTTCTGATTATTTCTGTAGTTTTGTGGGACTGATTGTACACATGCAGGTGTGTGTTTATCTATACAGCAGTCGTGCGCACACAGCTGCGCCCACAGAGATCTCAGTTTTACCCTCTGTCTCGCCACATTGGCAGCAGTAGTTCTACTGGCAGGTGTTACAGTGCTGATGTTGAGATGGAGGTAGTAAGTCCAGTTGATGTCATCTAGCCATGGGTGTCTCTGCTGTGCTTTGCTCAGTGCACCTTATTCCAGAGTTTGTGTACGTTTTGTAGAATTTACTTCCAGGGCTGAGTGCTCGTGAGTTTGCACTTTGCTAATTAAGGTGCGACTTCTTTGTGGGAAAACAGCTGATTTAGCATATGCTTGTTCTGAGGGTGGGAGGCTAAGACGATTGAAAAATACATTGAGAACATTTAAAAAAAAAAAAGTTTAACTGTTCACACATTTTTACAGGAATGTAAGGACCTATTCTTAGTTTGAAATAGCTGAAGCAGGCTACAGCACTGGTTCTCTTAATCTCTGCTGTGCGAATGGAAAAGTAATGAGTATTAATAGAAAATGTCTTAAGCCTTCTATATTTTGTTGTTCACTCTTCACTCAATAGTTTTTAGTGCCCTGTTTGATAACTTGTCCTCTGTACCCCTTCTTTTTAATACAGGGGATGGCCCCTTTCCAGGAGTGATTGACATGTACGGTGATGAGGGAGGTTTGATTGAATTTAGATCCAGTCTCCTGGCTACCCATGGTTTTGCTGCTCTTTCTCTGCCCTATTTTGACTTTGAAGATCTGCCGAAGGTCATGAAAGAATTCAAACTCGAGTACTTTGAGGAGGCAGCTAGATTCCTGCAGCGTCACCCAAAGGTGAGTGTAATGAGATCTCTCAGGACAAGGGAGGATTCGGCAGTCATGATCAAGCGGTGGCAGTGATTTTTTTTGGAGTGAAAGTTTCTGCTGGGCAGGTTTAGGCTCAATAATG